GGGTAGGGGAGAGAAGGGGGAGAGAAGGAAAGATTAGACACGCGAAGTGCAAGTCAGGGTAAGTCAGGGTGGTAGGATTATCTCGGATTTTAAAAATTCAACCTCAGTTTTCGTCAGCAGGAGGGAAGGGTTGTTTTTTGCTGACCACAGCAAAAAACAACGTTTCAAACCTTTCCCTCATGCTGACGAAAACTGAGGTTGAATTTTTAAAATCCGAGATAACCCTACCACCCTGACTTGCACTTCGCGTGTCTAATCTTTCCTTCTCTCCCCCTTCTCTCCCCTACTTCTACTGCTCGCTGTTGAAAGTTTACTCCTCTGTTGCTAGTTGAAAGATGTGGTTGTTGTTGTCCCTGTTTTAATTGTTTTATTCTTTCTTCATTCATTACAGAAAGGAGCCGACGAGCGCCAGAAGGTGGAGATGTTTCCTCTAGTGGGCTTCATACCGCCTGCGGTACGAATTCTCGTGGCGGGAAGCTAATAAAAGAAAAATAAACGGTACGAGCACTCTAAAGGCTGGAGGCTGCTTACACGGGGTCCTCAAGCCGACGCCGTAGGCATTTATTTGTATACAATGCCGTTTTGAACTTAGGTTGGCGGGACATATTTTAGCAAAGGCGCCCGCTACCCCTTGTCTCCCCTTGGCGCCGTCTTTACTTTTCGAGTTAAACGCGGCTTCTGGGGATTGACGGCAGAGCTTTCGCGCGGCTTTGCAGGAGCGAATATGTGTGTCTCGAACGGAACAGAGGTGGGGCTTGCTGGTTTGCAACTGCGGCTTCGAATTTCCTACCTATAGGGACTTGGGGAAAACGAGCCCTTTCAAAGATGCGACTATCCATAAATTAAATAGAGAGTGCCTGTGCCCGTTCCAGTGAACACCGACTCCCAAACATCCATGCTGCAGTCGTGATCGGCCTTTAGCCCAGTTGAGATTCGCCGACCGGACAACCGCTCTGTCCCATCATATCTCTGCACCTGTCCTCTCGACCCTGACGAATGAGCTAACTACCCAGAAACAAGTAAGTGTTCCTTTCATACCAAAATATCCAGACTAGGTGCAATTGAATATAATTTGGAAGGACCCATTGCTAGTTTAAGGTCTTGTCTAAGTTAAAAAGTTGCCGAACTGCAACATGCTTTTAAAAATATTCAACAATTATTCGCTTTCGTTCTCTCGAGTTGCATCCAGAACACGTGAAAACACGAGTTTGGGTTGGCAATGCCGCATCTGCTGCGCTCTGGACATTCCAAATATACGGCGAACAACCGACGAACTTGCCTGGCAGCGTTCGTTTCGCTCGCTGCGTAAACAGTGTTTTGACGCCGCGAGCAGCGTCGAAGCCGCCGGGCCATTTTTGTCGCTTGTTTGCAACGTACTCGCTCCATTGAAGCAACCGGCGACAATGAAATTATGTTTTAAAGCCACGTTCTGCATTTTGTCACTGAATATAAAGTTCTAACTACTATGCCAAGCTTAATCTCAAAGAAAAGCCGAGTTTTAGATTAAAACGTTTTTCGCATTGTCATTAGCTGCATGAGCTTCCTCCGTATAGTTGGCGAAGGTTGGCTCTCCGTACATGCTCTGCGAGTGTAACGAGATTATATTATTCAAGCAAAAAGAGCTCAAAAGTTGTAGCCCCGCCGGGGATATCTGAGCCATCAAGTTACACTGTCTGCGATTGTCACAGCCGCTATAGCAGCAAACATTCATTTACAGTAGTTAAACTTCTTTTTCTATTTCTAGCGCGCTGCCACGCGAATGCAGTATTTCCGTTTTCTATGAACTACAAAATTCCTTGCGTTATGGTGTTCAGGAAGGATAGTGCCACCACAATTTTCTAGATACTTGCCTCTAGCTTGGTCACCCGAAAGGTTTTGATTCAAAGAGTTCATCCCCGACAGGTAAACCGATACAAAAGCTCTCAAGATCTATATTATGTTATCAGAGTTTAGTAAAAACGATAACTCCACAAAAAAAATATAAACACTCCCCCCCCCCCCCCCCCCCCCCCCGCCGTTTTACACCGAGGAACCGCCCCCCCTAAAATGGAGATCTGGATCCGTCCCTGGGTGCCACTCGCTGTTTCTGTCGGCATAGCTTTGCAAAATGTCCCAACTTGCCACAGGCGTAGCAAGTGGATCCGTAGGCGGGGCACTGTCCGGGCAGGTGAGTGGTTCCACACCTACTACAGCTTTTTTGGTGCTTGGCTTCTCTATGTTGTGGATGGTTGCTTCTTTGTTGATGTTGGGGCTGTTTTCTCGGTTGTTGTCTGTTTTCCTGTCGCTGTCTTCCGCAGTTCAAGTTGTCGACCGTCGCCTCTTGTCTATTGGAGGTCGTCAACAGCGAAGATACGTGCTGCTTTGAAATTTCAGCCGCTCTGCACGTCATGATGATATTTTCGAGAGTAAGGTTCCTTTCCCGAAACAGCCGCTTTCGCAGAGCTGTGTCGCGAATTCCAATGATTATCCTGTCGCCTAGGAGGCGGTCGTGCTGGTCGCCAAAATCGCATTTCCTCGATTGGCCTTGTAGCTCAGCGATGAAGTCGTCAATCGGCTGATTTTCTTTTTGGCACATAGAGTTGAAAATAGCTGCCGCCTGCGTCACGTTTTTGTAAGGCAGATACTTATCATCGAACTTCGCAAAGATAGCGGCCACTGTGTCTGTTAGAGGCTCACCAGTTTTCGGAGCTGGAAAGACGAATGTGTCGACAATTTACCGTGCTGCTGGGCCGATGGCGTGTAGCAGGAGCGCTCGCTTGGTTGCTGGGGGCTTGTCTGTATACTCACAGGCTACCTCATAGAGTTCATATGCCGTCTTCCATTCCGACCAGGTTTCGGCGGGGTTGTTGCCTGGTTCAAACGGCTTGGGCGGTTGGATCAGGGGAAACGCCATGGTGATACACTCGTTGCTTTACTGTAGTTGTTTCGGGGAGTTGCCGAGTTGCGAAATTTTAACTTCTGACACCATGTTATATACTGATTGTTATCGATTGAATCAGACCCAGACCCTTAGATTCAGACGGGCCGCCAACATGTGTGTGTTCCACACGGCTAGGCCTGACACCATGTTATATATTGATTGTTATCGATTGAATCAGACCCAGACCCTTAGATTCAGACGGGCCGCCAACATGTGTGTGTCCCACACGGCTAGGCCTGACTCTTTATTCACGAGGGCAAACCGCCAATAAGAGGGCGCCACTAACATGTCGATATATATAACAGTGTGTACCCATATGCCGCTTCGTGTACTTAGGTGCCGCTTCAGAGGCGAAATATGCATCCTTTGCTTTGCAAGCGCCCCTAGTTCGATCGGTGGCCATCGCAGTCGTGTTTGCTCGAAACGGCATACGTTTGCTCGAAGCTTATGGCTGTCGGCGAGTAATTTCCTGCTAAAAGGCGCGACTTTTTTTGCGCATGCTCTGAAACTGCACTAAAAGAACCGTATTTAAGTAGAGGACAGCCTAGGAGACTATATAATTCAAAACAAAATACAAGACATCCACCGACCAACGCTTGTTATCCCAACCATCCGACAAACCTTTGCGTTTTGTGACGTCACGCAGCACCTACAGATGGCAGCCATTGACACTGGCGAAATTCGGGGTGCAGTTTCGTAAATAGACCCATGAAAGGTTTAATTGATAACGGGATATTATATATCAAAATAAAAATTACGTTTGTCTACATGAAAGCTCCCTCGACGTAACGACCGCAAGAACTTAAGTACTTCCGGTTTCGACCGGACAATCTCTTTAAATATCAGGTAGACGTAGTCAACGCGGATACGGTAAGACAAGTGTCACTAATTACGATCATATAAGCGATGTTATCGCGTGCAGTCACTGAATTCTTGCATTATACCCCGGCCACATGGCAAAATTAATGTAATTTCGATCGAATGAATATATGGGGCCGACAAATCAACTTGCGACGCTCGTAGAATCACTCAAGACCGCGAGCTGATTAAATCCCGTATCATTTAATGAAAATATAATAATTTTTCGTGTGGCAGGGGTGCTAAACATACTATTTACAGTCAACTAATTCACTTCTCCCTATGGGCTCCAGCTGCCTTAGAACAAAATATAGCTTATTTTGTATACAATAATACTATTACCTTAATACAGTTAAGATTCTAATATAAACACGGTAAAGGCAACAAAATAACATTAGTAACAATAAACATATAAGCACAAACAGCGGCACCTTCAATATTTACACAAACTTGTTATTCCCCTCCACCAAAAAACGAGATTCCGTTCTATCACAAGATTTAAAGGGGAAAAAAAAACGACTGCAGCACTTTACTCGCGTCCTTCATGACCAAGAAAGCCCGTAAATAAGTTCTTTCTCACCTGTCGATCGTATCCATACGTCCCACAATATTCTTCATGAAAGCATTTGAACACGAACTCCAAGAAGTCTCTCTCTGCTGAGAGAGAGGTCTATCGATAATCGACCAGTGTCATCGTTGGTTTGTTGCCACACATGCCACTCAAACCGCAGCAGGACTTGTTCCGCGAATTCACGTAAATGCCGTAGTATCAAGCGAACACAAAAGAACTACCCGAGGCTGCGGTGAAGACAGAAAAACGACGGAAAGAAAAGTATCAAAAGAACCACAAACGAGAGTAGCGGCAGCAGTGTGTGACGAAAGGCTTAACATTGTCGAGCCATTTCTTGCTCGTGTGCGCTCCCTACGGCGATGGCTGGATTTTTTTTTTTTTTTGGTTCCCTTCCCTTCTGAAATGCCTCAGCGTTCCTTTTCAGAGCGTCAGCAGCTCACACACAACGTAAATTTACCAGAATCAGAGCCCGTATCAGGGAAGAAGATGTCGCATCGCAGCTGCTTCATTTGAAAAGTGTGGGGAGCTACAGGACTGCACGTAGCCCCGCGGTTACGGGGATAATCATAAATATAAATTTGGTACTTTCAACCTTCGTAACACGTTGTATATTACGTTTATATTATACATATATAATGAATTGTACAAGACTGTGCTTTTAAAACGTATATTATTGTCAAATGAACGTGCACAAAAAACACAAATAGACAAAAAAAAAATTTTTTCACGTCGGTGCCAGATATTTTTTCACATAGTTGCGCCATGGCCTTCCTCCGATATTGTGACGTAACCACTCGGAGCGCTACGGCCAGGGGCGGATCCAGACAGGGCCGGATTAAGGTACTGGCTAAGGGGCCCGGGCCAGGCTGTCAGGGGTCCCATGCTGGCCTCTGAAAATTTAAAAAAAATGTTAGTCTTTTGTTTTATTTAAGAAAGTTTAGGCAGAAAGCAGAAGAAACACTCCGAAGGGCCTCTGGCGCAATGGCCTTCTCGTTCTCTTTTCCTCAACAAGGAAACAAGGATGCCATAAAGTTCCCGTCTCTAGATCAGCTGGCGTTTGTGAGCTCGTTGTACAAGAGCGTGACAGAACAAAATTCAACACGGCCTCCCATGCCCCTTGTTAGATTTTTTTTTAATTGGAGCTTGATGGAAAAACGGTTATGGAGCTTTCTTTTGTATTGGGGCCCCCTAACCGTGTTCAACGGACAATTGTGGGCAGGAAGTTAAGCAAGGTTAAGCAAGCAACGCAGATGGTTCACACATGTTGTTTTAAAAATTTTCGCGAAACTCCATATGGAGTTTTTTCCAGAACGATAAGTTTGAATTAAGCGAAAAGGTGCCCGTAAATATCCGGAACACGGGCAACGCAGATGGTTCACACATGTTTTAAACATTTTCGCGAAACTCCATATGGAGTTTATTCCAGAACGATAAGTTTGGATTAAGCGAAAAGGTGCCGGTAAATATTCCGGACACTATACGCTCCGTGCGGGAACTATAGGGGGCGCTTTGAAAAACGCGCGTAGCGCCGCTAGCGGAGGAGCTGGCGTTCGACAGTGAGGCGCGTTCCGCAGCCTGCGGCACCTTTTTGCATGTATAGCTGTTGAGGCGGAAGCGCGTACGGAATGAACTTCTGCTGTTTGAGCCGATACGTTGAGAGTGACTTTGCATGAGGGCTGGGGCAGACCTAAGAAGCGCATCTAGCTGTTCTCCGCTTTAAATATTGAGTTTTAGTCGTTAATAGGGGCCATTTCTCTAGTCGCGGTCGAAAAAGGGGTTGGAGCAATTTTCCGAAGAGTAAGATGGCCACCGGTGTAACTGCTCTCAGTGGAAAATTTGATTGGCTCGCCGCTGTAAACGTAGGACTACTGGGGCAATGATATTTGGAGGCGAGTGAGATGTTCATGAAAGGAAAGTGTGTATACCACTGTCTCCGTAGGAAATTTGTTTCACTCGTCGCTAGAACAGTATAGGATTGCTTAAACAATGAGATTTGGAGGCGAGTGAGATGTTCCCTAAGTGTGTGCACTAAGTGTGCCAAGTTTAATTAAGACAGCAGGTGTGAAAGTTATGTTCAAGGGGAATAAAGCTGTACGGGATATCCAATATTGGACCCAAAGTATTGTGTTATAAGCGGACTGTGCGAAGCGCAGATTTGGGCGCATAGGTAATTGGTCATGTCAGTAACTTGACACAACACTTATACCAACAAGAAGTGGCATAGGGAAACCAGATGGAAATTTACTTTGGGCGGCGTAACTGAATGAAAACTGGCTTTGACCGTCAATGATTGTTAAGAAAACACCATTCGTCCTAGGAGGTGCAGGCTCTACAGGTAGGAAGGGACCAGTGGGATTATACTTCTAATTAAAACAACTTTATATAGGTGGCTCCAAAGCCGAAAAAAAAAAAGAGTTGTCACCTACAGGACTCGGGCTGTCGGCATTTCCACATCCAAAAGGACGCTGATCAAAAAAGAAAGCACACCACATAAACTTCCATATACTCAAACGTCGATTCTTCAGTGATTCCGAGTTTCATTGTAATTTTTCTTAGACTCATATTTGTCACATTTTGTACCGTCCGAATCTTTCATCATGAAGTACAGACTGCATTTCATACTGGTCCGGAAATATTACCGACACGTACAATGGGGACAAAACTTCTTTGGAGGGAATTCCTCCAACGAAATTGGCACTGCATACCCGCGAGTGTAGAGTGGCATTTCAGTTCGTCCCATCGGGTCTAACATATGTAGGCGTTGCTGGCACGAAAACAAACGCTGAGCGAAACACGGCAGTGTAGAATATCAAAACAGTGGCAGAAATGATCGAGGGACCAAATTTTTCGCGTCGTACGGAATCCATCCTTACCGATGTCCCACAAAACATCCGCGAGTTCAAAAATGGTGAAACTTCATCCCCATGAGATACAACGCGTAACTATTGAAGCACTTAACGACGCAGCAGTTCATGCTGTCAACCCAGCGCAACCGCACCGCTACGACTTCAATGCGTACCAATGTACGCTGCGTGATTTCGTTTGGCTGGAATTCTCACTGCCTAACTTCGGTAATGGCCGCGTGGCGGCGCGCCGGTCGCGTCGCACGGAGTGTAGAGCCACCAACAAAGAGGCGTTTCAAGGAGCTGGCTCTTAAGACGCCCCTCAACAGTTTTCGATGGGTACTGACTGCAAGGAAGTGCTCTAGAGTTGATATCTGGTCTGCCAGTGCAACTGAACACTCTTCCTTCCAGCGACTGATACGAATACTGCAATGGTTTCACCAACCTCTGAGGTATAACCTCTTATTCTTAAACGTTGAGTCACAGAACAAAATGGCCGCCGAGGTCTAAATTACTGCATTTAAAAAGAACAAGATTAGTACTAAATCTGATGCGAAACATTTTCCCCATTCAAAAAGACAACGTGTAGATACAAAAAAAAAGAAAAAAGCATCTTTTCGATTCTTATGATAGATACTTTAAATGCAAACTTGTGCCCGAACGACAGCGGTTGATGTCTTAGAATTTCACGCAGTTTCTCCTATGCTTTAAATGTGGAAGTCTGTGTTTGTTTGCGAAACGAGGTACCTTTTCGGTTGCTGCATAACTCAATTCATGTGTGATTAATGATGCCACTCGACACGTTAGCAAGAGGGTCACCTGTGCTAAAAGTCGACATCGTGACCAATTTGTATAAACTGGCCCGGGCATGTACTCTATAAATCTAGCTGTAATTCTAGTCAAACAAATTCATGAACGGAGTCAACATTTTATATGGAAGCAATTTAGTGTTTTTTTGTTGTTGTTGTTGTATTTGTGGTTAAGTTGCTGGATGTGAACGATAAATCCTAATATTTTCCGCAATGTTTATTTGATTTCATTTTTGTACCTCAAAATTACTATATTGTAAATTGCTAGAGCGGTTGATTATTTGCGAAGTAGCTTCTAAACAATCGCATCTGCCTCAATGCCAGCAAGGGAAACTTGAATTCCATTGAATCTACGGATCTAAACAAGGCTCGACAATAATCATAGGATGAAACATATCTAGATTTAACAAGTTCACAAATATATATTCCCGACGTCATCGTTACCTCCACCACCACCATCACCACCACCATTATCATAGGTAGAGGCCTCATAACAGCCTAAGCCCAGGGCCCCAAATGCCTTAATCCGGCACTGAATCCAGAACTCCGTTGTTTTTGTTGTTTTTTTGTTTTGTTTTTTTGGGGGGGGGGCGGGGGCGGAAAATTTGTAAAGATACTATTCTCCCATTCTTTCGTGTGCACCGGGGGGTCCATCCATGTCAAACTGCCCTACGAAAAGGGGGGGGGGGGGGTCGACCCCCCCGTCACCCCCCCCCCCCCCCCCCCCCCCACTTGGATCCTCCCCTGGCTACGGCTTTCTCTTCTAGGAGGTGTTGCCCAAGCCCTTGACGTTGCCCCTCTCCCCTCCTGGTGCGAAGAGTAGGATGACTCACTGGCCGCCCTGAAAAGCAGTACCCTATTGGGGAGGAGGACAGACCGTGACGCCCCAAGCGGTTAACCTAACAACTACACGGATGGGGACAACAAATACAATGACCCAGCGTTCGGCCGACATAACCGAACGCGGCGTCAGCGTTCGGCTGGAGTTCGTGTTCTCCGGCGAGGGGGAGGAGGGGCTGTTTTGTTTCCACTACGGCCTGCATGAACAATGCAGCATGCACGATTCCAGCTCAGCACAAAAGCCGAAGTGGGTCAAGCTCGCATTCTCTGAGGATAGATCCGGCACTTAACGTCGCTTCGTCGATTGTTAGTATTTTTTACATTAAACTGCGCCCCGCGCTCTATTGTAGAAGATGACATGGCCATGCCCATAAGGCCTGTCGGCATGTGCACAGGCCTTGTGTTGAGTAAACACCAAGCGTGGGGAAAACAAACGGGTCAGAGCGCCCCCTATAGTTCGATCTCCTGCACCGGGGGGGCTGGGGGAAGACTGACCTATGTGGCAGTTGGAGATCGTCGCCAGGCCTCGTTCTTGACCGCTCCGACTGCTGCTGTTCAGGGTACTCCGGGGTAGGCGTACGAGGCGACTCAGTCGCCCTCGTGTGCACCGGAGTTAGGGCGGTCATGGTTGGCGAGCCCGAGTGCATTTTAAAGCGCAGCTCTTAGGCGCCCGTTTCCGGCTTGAGCGGCGTCGCCGTCGCCGTCGGCGTAACCAAGGTCACCCCAAGGTCACGTCAACCCCCTAAGGTCACGTGACCCCCAGGTCACGTGATCCCTCCCGAGGTCACGTGACCACCCCAGGTCACGTGACCCCCCTCCCCCCCCGAAATCATGCGACACCCCTGAGGTCACGTGACCCCCTCCCCCCGAGGTCAGGTGACCCCCCCGGAGCATATTAAATAATGAGGGGAGGAGAAGGAGAAGGAGGAGGAGGGGTCTACTCTCCCCTCAGTACCGGATCCCTCCTCCTCCTCAAGAGCTGCGCTCCAATTCGGCGTTACAGGAGTTGTAAACGGCTTTCACTTTTTTTTAAACAAGTTTTTCCAGTCCTATTCCTAACCAGACATAACAGTGCTGTAGTGCATGGCTTCACTTCAGTACATTTTGTAGGACAGGACCTTGACGACACCGGAGTTCACATGAATGCCAACAAAGTTGAACAAACTGTTCCATTTCTTTTGCAGTTGTCTTGATACAGTTTTCGGTATTCTGCACCATGTAGAGGTTCGTTTGTAATGCAAAGTTCTCAAAGATTGAAGTATTACAAAACATCTTGAAGTACTGATACGGTGACGGGATTTCGCCAGGTGGAGACTCTTCTTTGAACTCCGCATTTAAAGGGGCATCCAGACGAGTGCTTCCTTCTTTGAACACTTATTTACTGACTCGCAGGCAGCT